TGGGCCCATTTGGGCTTATGTGCTACCACTTCGCTTTGTTAAGGCCTTTGGATTCTGACATACAGAGAAATCAGAATCAAATATTCTCCAAACTTAAAACTACTCTTGTATTCAACCTAATTAATTTCCAGCACGAAGAAGAATGCTTGAAGTTGCAACTACCTGAATTCTAACTTCAACTTTGTCTTGTAGTGTCTTCAAATTATTCGTGAATCCAGATTTTTTCCTGTTACTAAGGTAATGTTTGGATGTTATGGCATTTTTTTCAGTGCCATTTCTGATAAAACAGTGTTGTATTAGTATAGCGTTTTTTTTTTTTTTTTTTTTTTTTTTTTTCTGGGACTGCTGCTGGTACTTATATAATTGTTTTTCAACACCACATCAACAAATTATTACTAGCAACAGTATACAAAAATTGTAACATTTTTCAGACCACACCCTTCCCAATTTCCAAGATGTATAATATGAAAAAACATTTTTCAGAAATACATCCAGCCAAACAGGCATCAGTTTCCCTAGCACCGAATTGTCCGGATCTCCAAGTAGTTTCTAGCGATGACTGGTTGGATTGATAAAGCATATCATATATTCATACGTGTCGTAGTTTTGGTGGAAGTAGCGGAACAGCTAGCTGTTTATAGCCACCATGCATGCATATGTTAAGAGTTGTATTCATTCTCTCAAGAGCCATCTTCAATCAACATACTATTCCGCTGAGACGTCCTCAGCCTCAGACATCCAATGCAACAGTGGATGCATTGATGAATTCTGGTCCAAATTCAAATTATTAATTCAGTGTTCATCATTTGATCGTAGCTTGTGCGCTGTGCAGCATGTTTCAAAAGAAACGTTTCCTGTTTCAGAGGTGACAGCTTTCCCTGTTTCAACCAATTAGGATGTTAATTCTTTTTTAAACTCTTTAGTCGGATAGGTTTTGCTCTTTGCTTCGTACAACGTCTAGACGACTCTCTCACCACATATATCACCTACGGTCTACCAAAGCAAATTATTTAACCTAGTTTTATTTCCAAAACAAGCTCTGTATTAGAGAATTGAATGTTAATAAACCCACTGGACTGGAGCCAAGTAGACGAGTAATGTTTTTTCATTTTCAGTTGCAGAGCGAAATGGGTATTCATCCTTTGGTAGACCCTTTCTTGTTCGTTATAACCGACGTCACAGTGGTTTAGAAAAAGAAAAAATCTTTGGGTGTGCAGTGAGATGATTAGATGAAAGGGATCCTATTCTTAAAGAAACCCCATTTTTTTATTTATAAATAAGGAGAGAAAGTTGGTCAATGATTATCTCTTTCTGACTCACCAATTTTATAATGTTTCTTATATATTAAGTACAGGTTCCCACAGTAAAGGAAACTTTATTTATCCCCGTAAAATTTACAAATCTCTGAGATAGATATATATTCTTTCAACCTAGGACAAAAGCTTATAAAACATGATAAGACAGATTTATCATTTTTAATATTAGCTTTTTATGAATAAAAAAAGTCATTATATTACTTATTTGAGAATCAAAAGAACATGTATAAATGAATTTGTCAGAATAAGTGTTATCAAGAAACATTTACCTGAATAAATGATCTTACCAGATAAATAAAAAATTTATAAAGGAACGACCCAAATCACAACCTTATAATATTGTTACATTCAAACTCACCATGCAAAAAAAGGAAGATATTAACGTAACAAATTAACAATGATTCATGATGAATCGATTTTTGGGTGATGGCCAATTTTTTGTGCTAAGTATTTCGTCTTTTGGTCAGTTTCCAAGTGGCCGATGACTCAGGCTGAAGTGGAGAACTTTGGCTGCTGAGCTAAGTCAAGTTGGGTAGGCTAGGTGGCGAGTTGCCTATGAGGTGCCGAGCAAACTAGATGGCGAGCTGTCTGTGAGGTGCCGGGCTGACCAGGTGCCGAGCTGCCTATGAGTAGACCTGTTCATGGGCCGGGCCAGGCTCGGGCCGGGCTTTCACTCTGTATTAATAGAATTTTCTAAGGCCTGAGCCCGGCCCGACCATCGGGCCTACAACTTGGGCCCAAGCCCGACCCTCATAAAAAGCCCAAAGCCCAGGCCTGGGCCCGAGCTCGAAATTTAGCCTATTGTTAGCGGCTGAATAGAGAGAGAGAGAGAGAGAGAGAGAGAGAGAGAGGGAGATTATAAAGAAAATAATAAAAAATGTATATATTAAATTATAAATATATATTTTAATAAATATTATATTATTTATATATTTTATATAATATATAAAATACATATTATATATTTTATAAAATATATAATGCTAAGTCGAGCCGGGCCGGGCCATCGGGCTACCCGACCCATGAACAGGTCTACCTGTGAGGTGCTGGGTTGACCAGGTGCCGAGCTGCCTGTGAGGTGTCGGGTTGACCAGGTGCCGAGCAGCCTGGCGGTGAGCTGGATTGATGAGCTTCATTGCTCTTTAGAGACTTGCAAGGAACCAAATGTCAGAGGATCCGGGGTGACTAACCTGACGAGGTCGCTCCAATGCTTAAGTCAGTACTCTCATAGTAGACTGCGAGCTAAAAATCACAAAGTATGAGAGCTAGAATTTGTTTATTTGCCATTGGGGTTGGTGCCTTTATATAGGCATTGTTTGGCGTGGGCTTCACGCACCATATCCGAGATTTCTGCGAGGTCGTCTAAGTGGTTCGAGATTCCTGGAGGTAACTGCCATGCACGTTGACCACCCTCCGGATCATTAGACACGTGGGCCAACTTCCAAGGATCATGGGAGTGTTTGGATATGCATGTCGAATTTGTCGCCGAGCACGTCTCCTAGGCCGTGCCTGTGCTAGGCTGCCAGGTCGCGCCAGGGCCAAGCCACCAGGTCGCGTCAGTGCCAGGCTGCCAGCTCGTGCCAGGGCCAGGTCGCGCTTGGGCCAGGCCACCAGGTCGCGCCAGTGCCAGGTTGCCAGCTTGTGCCTGTGCCAGGCTGCCAACTCACGCCAGGGCTAGGCCACCAGGTCGCGCTTGTGCCAGGCCGCCAGGTGGGACACCATCAACTTGACTAAGGCAAGTTGTTGCCAAAGTGATTCCGGATGTCACCTAGTTGTTTTGAAGTGCTATGTGTCACAATATCATTGGAGAGCCAAATCCCCCCTCATCAATTCACATGTCAAATATAACATGACAAAATCTTTGCTTTTGGTAAAACCCTGAAAATTTTCACGAAATCCACTTTATAAATTTTTATTTGTTCATGCGATTATAATAAATTATAACTTCCAAAATCCCCACATAGGACACGTTGACACTTTATTCCCCCTTATATTGGTATCGATTTTTCCTATTGTCATTGTTTCCAACTGTACAATAGTGAAATAGTTGAATAGAGAGATGAACTAAGACTCGCCTAAAAATTATTGGTCTTGGGACCCATTTTTATGGGTATTGTTTATTTAAAGCAAGAGTGAGGTGGCAAGTTATGAGAGGGTGGGCATGGAGCCCCAATGTCCCCAGCCACAATCGACTTATTAATCTTAGTGAATGAATCATCCGTTTTCCTTTTCTGTTTTGGTGGGGAATGATCTCGGTTCACTCCAAATAAGGTAATTAATTAAAGCCCTCGACTGGATTATTTGCCACATGGCAACCTTTAAAGTTCAAACTCGACAAGCGTGGAGTTAATGCTAAACACGGTGAGACGAGACGACCAAGCGAGAGGCGAGGCCCCAGTCAACAGTTGAGCAGCAGCCCACCTTCACCACCTTGATTCCTAATTGTTTATTTGTGCATAAGAAAAGTCAAATAAACGCCACATGCCTGGCCAGTGCCAGCCTTCCCAAACGCTGCATCATCATCTTAACTGGCATGCATGCATGCATATGCTCCTACTACCAAAAACAACCTCCAATTCTAATCTATTTTACATTTTATGGCCCTCATTCAACTTAAAGTGCAAATCATCACCCAATAATTTGGTCCAACTCTGTAGCTGTACTAGAAGTGTGTTGGTCAGAGATACGCCACAAACAAGCGATGAGTGATGTTCATTCTTCATATGCAATGCCAAATGTCAAACCAATAAACAATTGTCAGGTGGCAAGATGAAGCCCCCTGTTTTAGTGTGTTTCTTTTGAAAGGGCACCAGGTTTCTGTATCAATAGGATGTAAAATAATTGAACAAGGCAAGAGCCCCACATGTCATGGCCTAGGTGGCATACTGGAGATTGGAGAGAGATATTCCATTTTAATCATGCAATATAATTTGACTTACAACAAAATTTGCTTTGGCAAATGTATCAACCATCAACCCTCAATTTAAGAATAGGGATGTATATAGTTGTGGGAATTAAAAAATACTTCCATACTATACCATGTTATAGCTACCTACCTGCGAATTACGAAATGGGGTATCTGACTAAATAAATACATTCAAGCTAATCACTTGTATATTTTTAAACCAGTACCAAACAAGTACATCAACAACTCCTAATAGTATCTAATACTTCAAAATAAGGGGTGTTTTAGGGATAGATATCTATAAAATGGACCGCATGAAACAATAAATAAAAAAAAAACTAAAGGCTAATTAATGCTGCGTTTGATATTGCACTAGTACAAATATATGAGAGTGCAAATGTAAAAATGCAAATTTTTATTTAATTTTATTTTGAATTTGACTTTATTTTGCTCCATGTCTTAATTTACTTTATTTGCCCTGCGATGGTTTTGCATCAATGCAAATTTATTTGCATTACAACCAAACACAGCCTAAGCATCAAAACACCCATTACGGTTATTCATGTAGAAGATAGGACCTTATGGCATCTATAAACCCATATGGAAAAAACTCTTTTCATGAACACCTTCACTAGAAAATAATATAGGAGAGAGAGAGAGACGTATCTGATTCCTTACATTTATGGTAATTAAAGCTGAAAACAAAGGGTATTTTATCGGTGTCCATGTATAAAACCAGCCACGCTCGATGGCTGTGCAAAGCTCGTAAGTAGCAGTAGTACTCATACCCCATCATTCATACCTAGAGCCACTGAAAATGGCTGGTAAGGCCTTCTCCTTGAAAGCTTTTCTGCTTTACATCTCTCGGATTATTCTCAGAAGATCGAGGATTCCTCGCTCCTTCAAAGCCTCCCAGTTGAGACTCCAAAAGCTACCCTCTCTTGCAAACCGAGCTCTCATCTTTGATGTGGAGGGAGCCTTGTTGAGATCATCCTCTTTGTTTCCTTATTTCCTGCTTGTAGCCTTCGAGGCCGGAAGTCTGTTGAGGGCTCTTGTTCTCTTCCTCTTGTATCCCATTCTCTGTGTTGTCAGTGAAGACATGGGATTGAAGATCATGGTGTTTGTTTGTTTCCTTGGGATCAAGAAGCACAGCTTCAGAGTTGGGACAGCCGTGTTGCCAAAGTTTTTCCTGGAAGATGTTGGGTTGGAAGGTTTCCAGGAGGTGATGAGGTCCGGCAGAAAACTAGCTGTGACTGCCCTGCCCACGGTGATGGTGGAGGGATTCCTGAGAGATTATCTGGGCGTTGAGTCTGTCGTCGGGAGAGAGCTAAAGCAGTTTCGTGGGTATTTTCTGGGTTTCATGGAGAACAAGGAAAGATCCAGTCTAGTCTTGGAGAAGGTGCTTGGAGAAGAAGATGAACGGAATCGTGATGTTGTTGGAATTGGTTGCCTCAACAAATCTCTTGATCATCAAGTTTTCTCCCACTGCAAGGTATGTTATTTAATTAATATGTATATATTGGATTTCGTTATAGAATCAACCCAAACACTCACTTCTCTCCCTCTCTCTCTCTGGTTCACAGTCCACAGTCTACAGTCTACAGTCTTTGGCACAATTTAAACTAACTATAGCCTCGAATTCACCGTTAATTATATATTTATGGTTTCCGTGCTTGTACCTGCAGGAGATTTACTTGGTCAGTGAAGCAGAAAAGAGTAACTGGAGTCAACTACCAAAGGAAAACTACCCAAAACCGCTCATCTTTCACGATGGTAGGCTGGCTTTCAGACCAACTCCACTCGCCACTCTCGCCATGTTCTTATGGATTCCGATGGGTTTCATTGTTGCCTTGGTCAGAGCCATTGCAGGCTACTCATTGCCTTACAAGATGTCAACCCCAATTTTAGTCTTCACTGGGATAAGACTGAAGCTAACAATACCCAAATCTTCTCCCACCATTTCAGAAGACAAAACCACCAAAGGTGGAGTTCTGTATGTGTGCAACCACAGAACACTGCTAGACCCACTCTACCTCTCCACCATCCTCAACAAACCTCTCACAGCAGTCACCTACAGCCTGAGCAGAGTATCCGAGGTCTTAGCGCCCATTAAGACCGTCAGACTAACCAGAGACAGAGAGCGAGACGCGAAAATGATGGAGAAGCTCCTGAGCCAGGGCGACCTTGTTGTGTGTCCCGAGGGAACCACCTGTAGGGAGCCCTATCTGCTTAGGTTCAGTCCTCTGTTTGCAGAGATGAGCGACAACATTGTGCCGGTGGCCATGGATGCCCATGTCAGTTTGTTCTATGGCACCACCGCCGGTGGACTGAAATGCTTGGACCCACTTTTCTTCCTCATGAACCCATTTCCGGCTTACAAGGTTCGGCTGCTGGAGAAGGTCAGTGGAGCTGCTTCTAACTGTCGTGATGATGGTGCTCAGTCGAGATTTGATGTGGCTAACCATGTGCAGAAGGAGATCGGTCGGGTGTTGGAGTTCGAGTGCACCAGGCTCACAAGGAAAGACAAGTATTTGATATTGGCTGGTAACGAGGGGATTGTTGCAACTGACAACAAACCCCAGACTCACACCACACAGACATGCAAAACTACTTGATGCATGAGATAGCAGTTCATATAATATATAAATATATTGGAGTACTCTTGTCTCTTGCAGTCTGATTCATTTCTGATGAATCTCATCCGGGTCGCAAACCAAGCAGAGTTACATATAATTTTTCTTCCTTGTTATTTATTGTAATACAGTTTAATAAATGTTTAATTAATTTGTTTCACTTTCACATGGATTAATTGTTTGGATAATTTGAATGGAACATTACTACGTACTGTGTAGTTTGATTTGTACGATAACTACTTCTCTTTGAGACTTATTGAACGATAACTACGTAGTTTTACGTATAACAGTACTAGGTACAATGGGTTTAGATTAGAACCTTTCACTTAGGCTGTGTTTGGTTTAATTGAAAACAAGAGAGAAACAGAAAAATTGAGGGAAACTATTAGTGAAGAATTTATTTGTTTCATATGCATGCATGTGATGATGTGAATAACAAATAATTTAGTGGTTTTAGCATAAACAATACTCATTACATGACATAGCCTGTTATTTATTGAATATTATCTGATATCTCTATTCTCTACAAACTTGTATAAAGAGGAGTAAAGGACTCTACCCATGTTCTGTATCAAGAAATTGGTTTACACGAGAAACCCAACTAGTAGAAGAATTCATATAATTTGGTCAAACCCACTTAACCCTTATGATTTAGAAATTAATTTTTCTCGATCAATTACCTTTAAAATGCATCAGTTACTAGATTAAAAGATTCAGACATCATATTGAAAATTGCAACGAGTCTCCGCCTTCTTTTGTTTTCATTGTTATTGGTATTCGAGAGATGAGAGAGAGAGAGAGATACCACTGGATCTATAATCTATGTAGCAAGAGTTACTTATAAAATTATATTGCTCCAAATTAAAGACAATAACCCTAGCTAGCTTGCACTGTTCATCACGTGCCAGGCACATGGAATGGGACTCTTATTTTAATTTGGTTTTCAGTTTTCATGATGTCAAACTATTTAAACTATCATATTGTGACTTTGCAAATACGATGTACAGTCAAAGTGTGAACCATCTCTCTCTTTAGTATATATGGCAAGTAGAATATAATCTAGAGCAGCATGTTGATTATAAAAATCTCCAGACTGTAATTGTTTATAAAAAAAAGAAAAGAAACGAACCCTTAGGCAGGATCTCTCTCTAACTTAATTTAAATATCATGTTCACTGTTTTTTTGTTTGTTGGTAGAGCACTCCGAAGCACAAACATACGGTTTATGATATCCCTTGGATCGATTCGAATCCAAGTGGGCTTATTCATCATGCAACCAGCATTGGCCCAAATGGAGATGAGAGCACATCTGCTGCGACCGTGGTTACAGCATTCCGTTGCTGCTCCCCAATAAAATATGTAACATCACATGAACCATAAATTATTTAATTCCACAGCCCCTGCTTGATTTGAGGGGTCGCAGAAGATGCGAACTTCCACTGGAGATCTGTTGGTAGCGGTTCAGTTTTTCCCCCGAATTGCTTTATACGGGATCTGCTACTCACACATGGGCGCTTCATTGGCACATTCACCATCTGTCGTGCATTGGGAACATTTTCCATAAATAATAATTTATAAATACGGGAGATATGCCCAATGCATGGGACGATGTGAGTGTGAGGAGCAGATAAGGTCTCCAATTGTTTCCATCGTCAGGACTATTGCCTGGTTATATATACACTTGTACCATATATCATGGTTTTTAAAAACGAACCGGTGACCGAATCGGTCAGGTGTCCGGTTATCGGTTCGAACAGTTTGACCGTTCTGACAAGAAAATTAAAAAAATTAAAAAATTAAAAAATTGAAAAATAGTCAAAATGATTCGAATGATTAATCGGCCGGTTCAGTGGTTTGCTGACCAAAATCAACGATTTTGGGGGAAAAAATGGTTTTGGAAGAAAACAAAACCGATCAAGTGACCAGTTCTCAGTTTTTCTAGTCCGACCATCCGATCCGGTCCAATTTTAAAAAGTGCTATATATAATTGTTGAAAAAGAAGAAAAGTCAACAGAAACACAAGTTGGGCGAGCTCTCGCTTTTCGATCTCTTTGGACCAAATCAGACAGCGAATGGAGGGGGGCTGGACATTTTCCAAGAATTTCAGGGAATCTCGAATTGTCGGAATCTCTTTTATATATCCTTATTTTATTTTTTAGGGTGCTAATACTTAAATATGTTACAGCTTGGACTTGTACTTGGAGTTCACTCCACCACATTCACAATTACAATATAGGTAGTGGAACCCAAGCGATTCGTGTAGCAGGTTCTGGTTCGGGACCAGTTGGGCTGGTCCGGCTGGAGACAAAACCATCCACATTGGGTTGGGTAGGTAGGTGTGGATTTCAGTCTAAGTTAGGTCTATTCAAGCTCAATTAGTAGAAAAACACAAGGCTCGAATTCAATCTCAACCACATTCGACCTAAAGATTAGAGTCCGAGTTCAGCTGAACTTAAAAACTCACACGTTCGAGCTCGGTTCGCTCGAGCTCAACAGTGTGCCAAGTTTTGTATAAAAATAAAAAATAAAAGTCATACATATCAAAATTAAAAACATTATATATAACACAAGCTCAATTAAATTTACAAGTTTCATGAATATAATCAAGCTTTTCATAAACCAAACTTAAATAATTTATAAAAAAACTCAATCCACGTCCACCCATATGAACAATCTATCACTTACCATCGGTGTTGTGGAATATCAATTTTTGTGGGTGATCAGAATTGAAGCTAAATTCTAGGTATAACCCTGTTAGGGAATTAAGATAAGGATTGGTATATGTAATGTTATGATAAGGGTGACGTTGAATAAAGTTACATTAAGAATTCTTAGCAAGACAGAATTTGTTATGTTACTATAGAGTTTGGGATGGATAAAGATAGACTACATAAAATTTTAAATAGAGTCTAAGAGTTTGAATTTGAATAGATTTGATTTCTGTTTTAGTATATAAATATGATATAATTACTATATTCAATCAATGCATTTTTTCTAACCTTCCTTGAATTTTAATAAACCCATAATCAGTAATTTAGCTTGGAATATTAATGCTATAAATCCGAACTTCAAGAGCTGCTATTCTCTTTTCCATGAATATATAATAATCGGAAATAGGCCAATCCTCAATCATAATGCATGGACTATAAACCTTCCCAGGCAGGATTGGAGCAAGGTGAAAGATTCAAATAACACAAGCAGCCCCTACGGATATTGGGTGGTTCAGACTTCAGACTTGGGAGATTTCAGATGGATCACTCATCACTCATCCTATTGACTTGGTGAGTCTATGACTGGCTATGACTTGCTAGAGGGGTTTTCTACTCTTCCTTCTCATTTCTATGAGTCTATGACTGGCTAGATGCGATCTACTCATCATCATCTATTTCCAATTAATTAATCTATCAATGAGGAGAGATGGATTCAACTTCTCACATTTAACAAAGTAAAGTCCAATATATTAGGAGGGGGAGTGCTGACTGATGATATCAAATCACTTGAGTCAAGGGATCGATACGTATTCCTCGTCAAATTCACATGCAGGTTCTGACTTCTGACCAGTTGTGTGTTTTATAATATATATCTGAAATGGTCTCTCTATACGTCATCCCTCTACGTTGTACCAAAATCAAATTATTCTAATATATTCCCAAACTGACCAATTTGTTTGCCAAAGTAGAAGGGGAAGGGGAAGGGGAAGAGGATGTCTGAAACGAGGAGGAAGAGTAGGCAGGAATGCAAAACCAGTTGGCAGTCAGGGTTTGTTTGGTTAAGAGAGTGGTCTGGTATTCCAGTTCAGGATCACTGACTCATTGTCCCATTTGTCTTTTTTATTGCTCTTACTCTTTTAAATAAATTGGTGTAATAGTGTACAAGTAAGTATTAATCCAGTTGGGATCTCTTTTTTTTATTTTATTTTTTTAAAGACCACACAACTGGGGATAGCCTATTCCCTTACCATTTCAACATATTCCTGATGCCACACATCGCACGGAGTGATTTGGACATCATTTTGGAATATCTCCGAAAAGCTTATTGGGAATAGATGTAGATATGTATTAATCATATATGATGTATGATATTGGGATTTAAATTTTTTTTTTACTTTTATCAAAATAAAGGCAACTATCCGTTTTATATGCTATAGGTTTTTACTTTTATTATAAAAAATTCTCATCTTAATTGAATGCGTACTGAATCAGAGTTTAGATTCCTTCTCCCTCCGTTGTGGAATACTAAGCCTCTGCCCAAAATTCAGTAGGTGTTTGGTATCGTAGCCGTTTTCAGTGAAGTTTTTCCTTCTAAAAATGGCCGCACAACACCTCACTAGAAACGGCTTATTTTTTGTTTGGCAACGTTGCTGCCATGTAGGATGAATTGCAATGGTTTCACCTCAATTCGGTTTGGTTGAAACTGTTTTCTCAAAAGTGTTTCCTTACCATTTGTCCGTATGATACTTGACTACTTAAAAAACTATTGGGTTCGAATATGATAGGGAAAAGACTGACCAAAATTCAAATTGGAATCATAATGTCCTATTTTCATATCTCACCATAAAAATCTTTGATTTTAAAAAATTCTTGCTATATGCATGGATGCGTCATAGTGCAAGTGAAAACCCAAAGGATGGAACGGTGCATCACGATGCACTGGATAGTGTTTTCCCATTGACTCAGTGTATACGTAAGTGCCATGTCACTCTCCTGTTTCGAGAAACATCAGCCTCCAACTTGAATCATCTTTTTTGCATTGCCGGCGGTTGCGAGTTGCACAAGTTTCAATACATTCCCGTTTCTTTTCATTTTTCTCTAAAAATTGGTACAACCAAATAGGTTTTTCGACCATTAGACCCCAAAATCTAACCCCAAGTTTCAATACATTCCCGTTTCTTTCAGAATTTCAATTGGTTCATTTTATAATTAAATGCACCAAGCCAAAAAAATGTCAAAATCCAAAATTCTATCTCCAATTCCGAATCCATCCCAATCCAATCATGCGCAATCTTGAGAGTGTAAAAACTAAAAATATTGATTCTTTCTGTGAACGCATTTTTCCTCTATTACCAATTTTGCCTTTGGGTTTTGTGTGCTAATTCTAGACCCACAATA